GGGGGGCCTCGCCTTCCCCTTCCCCGCTGCAGCCCGAGGTGCCCGAGGTGAGGGCATCCCTGCCCCGTCTCCCCCACACTCCCTTCATCCCCCTCCCCATCACTGCCTGGCCGCCTCTCGCTCGCTTTCCCCAGGCTGGGCTGCGGGGCTTGCAGGGTGGGGAGTCTGGGGCGAGGCTCGGGCTCTCAACCTCTGAGGGCAGGTTCCTTTTCTGCTGTGCCCCTGGAGGGCCCCCCAACCTCCCTGCCTTCAGGACCCCCCTTCTCCGTCCGTTGTTCCAAGGGGGCCGGGTCCAGCCAGCACCAAGCTTGTGGGGGTGGCTGTCGGGGGAGTGCGCCCTGGGTGCAGCCACCAGTAGCTTTGCCAGGGATGGAGCTGGCGCCCTTGAACACAGGAAGGATAAAAGGGGCCCTGAAGGGAGGGTGGTTGTGGGCTCCTCTAGTGGTGCAGTGGATAAGAAACCTGTCTCTTGAGCCAGAGGTTAAGGGTTCAATACCCACCCTACATGGGCTTGGCACCCTTAGAACAAATGAAGGAAGCATAAGGGAGGGAGCCCAGATTGTAGGGAGGCTGGGGGGCTCCTCCTCCTACAGTGGATAAGGTACTTGTCTGCAGAGCCATTCCTTTGCCCGAGGCCTGCCCCACCTGGTCACATCCTTCTCTGCCCCCCCATGCAAGTCCAGGTAGTGGTTACCTGCAGGAAGGGACCTCTTTTTCTCCCTCCCTCCCCCTCTGCAGTCTCAGGGTTTAGAACAGCACAGCAGCCTGCTCTGCTGTCCTTGCCCGACCTAGTGTGCCCTCTTCACTCAGCAACAGGAAGCTGGGCAAAGCAGAGCAGGGGGGGGGGGGAAACTTGACCCCATGCCAGGACCTGTCCATAGGACAGTTGAGACAGCTGTCCCTGGGGCACTGCAAAATGCAGCACCTGGAGCAGCATCCCTGAATCTTCCTATGGACAGTTCTGGAAAGCAAGCAGACAGTTCTGGAAAGCGTGCAGGAGGGGGGCCAAGTGTTGGGGTGGATGAGTGGGTGCTGGCTGGCTATAAGAGGGGGAATGGGGTGTGGCCTTCTGACAGGCAGCACTTATTGCAGGGGCTCCCATTTGGCAGTACACAAGGTTAAGGGGGAGGGAAGAGAGCTTCCTGCCTTGGCCCCATGCTGCTCTCAGAAGGGGCCAACACTGGCATTACCCCCTCAGATCCCACTGGCCACAATTCCTCATTCCCAGCCAATGGGAACTGCAGGGATAGTGCTCGCAGTTAGGAGCAGCATGCAAAGATCCCTGCTCTCCCTCTTCCTCCCCCGGAGCTACAGGGCTACCCTGGATGCATCTGAGAGCAAGTTGGGGCTGAGGCAGGCAGGGAGTCAGCCTTAGTGGCAGCCCTGCTACACTACTGGAGATCACGATTGACAGGGAGAGTCCCCAGGATGGACCAGTTAATCGCAATTGACCCGTTCATGATCACTTGTCTAAAATGGGCATTTGAATTGTGACTCCACAGATTTTAGCACTGAAACAATGCTATATCCCTGCCACAGCTTCCCCCAATTAAATTTAAATATGGAAACATTGAGGGAGACCACTAAATCTAATCCATCCCTTACTTCTCTCAGAACACTTACATTTTAGTAATATTTTCTAAAGTTAAGCTGATTTTAAAGCTTAACTTTAGTAATATTAGATATTTAAAATCTAGCCACTTTTTTGCACCCAATCTGCACCCTGCCACCTAAGTGCAACTTGACAAACGTGAGTAGGTTATCATTACTAGAGTGCTAGCTTGCCACATCAGGAATTCAAGAAAACAGGTCATTTGTACATGCCTGAGGCCCAGTTTTGTTTGCCAACACCTACTGTGGCTTAGTGCACCAAACAAGAATAGCAAATTGAAAATGTTTTAGTGATTTGGCATGATTACTATGGAATTCCTACAGTTTTTATACACATTCTTTTATCTGATCAAGTTTTTTATAGACATTTTTGGATGTAGCATTAACCATAGATCATATTAAGAATGTTGTCACTTTGGATCACAGTTCTCTTTCAAGGTTAATATGCATGATGAGCTGTCAAATGCTATCAGGCCAGTGCTCAGAACATAGATGTCAGTGAAAGAAAGGAATTAAAAGTGAAATAACCCTACTGAATGTACAAGCTGAGATTTTTTTTTCCCCTTGTTTTCACTGCTGGTCGCATCATTGACAACACAACTCTGATTTTAAAGCTTAACTTGTCAGCAATATGAATTTCATGAAGGCAAAACAACAAGGGAAGGGCCGGTAGTCTTTACTTTTGAGAGGTATTTTTAATATACATGTATACTGGGTTCAACCAATCAAAATATCGAGTCATTCCGTTTTTGTCCTGGGGTGCTTGTCTCTGCTGTTTTATGAAACTGGCCCTTCCCTGCCAGTCATTAAATAAAATACTATTTTTTTTAAAGAAAACAAAAAAGTTCCACTCATCCACTGACAGATTACCTAACACAACAACCACCTTTCACCCATTGGCTTTCATGTAGACCCCTCTTCTAAGATAATATAGTTTTATGTATTGGTATCTTTGTTGTTACCATATACAACGTTTTTCTTCTCTGCAATTTTGATTTTGGTAGATTGTTAGTATACAAGATCAAAACTGGGTCTTTAAAAGGAAATTAACTTTCTAAGTCTTGTCTGTGGAGATTGTAGATAAGCAGTCTAGTCTTTATTAGGTCTGGTCTATTCTTACAAATTTTGCTGATATAGCTATGTTGGTTATGGGTGTAGGTGTTTCTTACAACATAACTACAGCGTCAAAACCTCTTTTACTGGAGATGTAATTACTTTGGCAAAAAGCCTTCTTGGCTGGTATAAGTGCATATGCACAAGAACAGTTTTGCTGGACTAGCTTAATTTTCTATACTCCAGGGCAAGAGTGTTCCAAGATAAACATTTATAAATGTTATTTCTCAGCATGTTGGTGTGTGGCGATTGGTTGGTTGTTTCTCTGTATGTGTAGTGGTGGTGTAAGAGGGTTTGAATTAGGGATGTTAGTTATCAGATATTTGTGTAAACATGTAACCGCTGAAAATGTTAGCGGTTACATGTTCACATGCAGGGAACCGAGGAGGGGAAGGGCAGGCAGGAACCAGTGCTGGCAGGGAGCAGGTTTAAAAGTTCCAGCTCTCCAGACTTCCAGTTCTCAAGACTCAGCTTTCATTCAGACAAACAAACCCTCAGATGCTATCAGTTCAGAACCCCTCAGATGCTATCAGTTCAGAACAATACCTTCAAAATGTGAAGCCAGTATCACTGAAGCAGGGTTGTCCATATGAATTTGTAGAGGGCCTGAAGCAATACGTCTACACTAGCAGCTTCTTGCACAAGAACAGCCGTTCTTCTGCAAAAACG